ATTTATTATATATATATATATATATATATATATATATATAGAAAATATACTTATGGCCCACATCAACCTAGTTGTTATGGATTTTTAAATGTCACACTTGAATGTTATCAAAGTTAGCATAATGTTTCACTTTTTATCACGTACAAAATATTATGCTTTCTCTTATTAATGGTTTCTTCGAGGATCAAAAAGGAGCCTTTTACATATTTTGTTAGTTTTGGAACCTTCTATCTTAATAAATTGTAGGAGACAATCAGGATAAAAGGTTTCTTATAATATTTTTTTTTAGAATTAGTTGATACATAGCTTTTTTTTGGTATAGCATGTTGGTTGTCTTTGCTTTCATTCTAGTACCATACTTCATGCAAGGTTCGTCATACCGTGATGTACTGCTTAGTATGGGCTGTATGTACCGATCCGATAGGGGACCGATATGGGCAGTACATTGGTATGCTCCTATATATCATGTGTCGATATACTCAGTACGACTCGATACAACAAAATATATATCATACCAATAGCTGGTCGGTACACCGATATGGACCGGTAAGGCGAACCATGACTTTATGTACTATTTTTTTGTAAATTCCATACCTGTGATGAATTCTTCAAGAGTTTGTGGTGACAACATATTTGGTAAGCAATATATTTGGTAACCTTGTCAATGCATTTTGGCTACTCTGTGCTTGTCATTAGTTTTTAAAATATCAAACTTGACAAGTTGGCTTTCTGCAATTCACTACTGCTTTCAAGATGGGTGTGGAACTTATATTTATACATTTCATTCTTGAAAGTTTTTCATCTAAACTTGCATTGTTGTCCAAACATTGTCAACAAGAACTACTTTTTCTTTTGTTGAAATAGGTGCCTCAACAAGACTCTTATTTCGTCCCCGAGGAGGTCTAGTTATTCCACATGCTCGAGGGGAGAAACCAACTCCAGGATGCTGGTCCTATCTTGATCCTTCTACTTTTGATCTTCGTGGAGAAAGCTACTTCAGGCATGAGTTTTCCCTGTACATGTTAAATGAATGTTCTTTCTGCTCTATGTAGCCAAAAACTTTTCATGCATGAGTTCTTCAATATTCTTGTCAAACTCATATTCTTTCTGTGGCTTGAAGCTGCTAACCTTTTCGTCTTTTGCTTCTGTCATTTGATTTGTATTTTATGTAAAAATTCTTATGCAGGGACAAGAAAAAATCTCCGGCTCCAAACTATGCACCATATTATCCTATTGGTGTTGACTTGTTTGTATGCCCACGCAAAATACATCATATTGCTCAACACATTGAGCTTCCATATGTCAAGCCACATGGGAAACTTCCCTCGCTGCTGATTGTTAATATTCAGGTATTAGTCAAGCTGCTTATTACAAGGACTGCCTTTTTCTTGATTAAAAAGGTCAGAAGCAAAGCTTATGTTTTATGTCTTCCTAACAGGTGCCTACTTATCCTGCTGCAATGTTTCTTGGTGAAGGTGATGGTGAAGGAATGAGCCTTGTGTTGTATTTTAAAATTTCTGAATCATATGAGAAAGAAGTTTCTTCTAGTTTCCAGGATTTAGTAAGGGTAAGTTTCTTTTTAGGAATCAATGACAGTTGATCGGTGCAATAAATGTGTTAGTTGCACTCTTAGAAAAAACAGAAAGGGAAAAAGAGAAAAACAAGTGGCTTGTACACATTTTCAACTTCTATGTTTCCTTGAGCTGATAGTATTTAGCCTTCTGCAGAAATTTATCGATGATGAAATGGAAAGGGTTAAAGGATTTGCAAGTGAATCCAGTGTACCCTTTAGAGAGAGGTTAAAAATTATTGGTGGAGTGGTCAACCCAGAGGATCTTAATTTGAGCGCTGCAGAAAGAAAGCTAATACAAGGATATAATAGGAAGCCTGTGCTTTCACGCCCTCAACACACTTTTTATCAGGTAAGGATAAAAGATGTATTGTATTTCTGGTTAAACTATTCTAAAATGTTGTTACTTTGAGATGCATTTCTGTGCAGAAGTTGCTTAACCTATATACTTGAAAATTCAGTTTAATCTTAAAATTGGATAATTAGTTGTATAATCTTAAAATTAGATAATTAAATCCTGTATCTTCCAAGTTTTATGAAAACCTTTTTATCCAGCAGTTTGTCTGTAGTACCATGGACGACTTTTGTACTTTGTTTTAGAAAACTAGGATAGTACTTACTCTTTACATGCTGTTATTGCAGGGTGAAAATTACTTTGAGATTGACCTTGACATACATCGCTTCAGCTACATATCAAGAAAAGGCCTAGAAGCTTTTCGAGATCGTCTGAAGCATGGGATCCTTGATTTGGGTTTAACAATCCAGGTAATTTTTAATGCATGTTTGGCCCAGTTTTGTGTTTTGGCTTAGATTATCATGAAAAAAATAGATTGTTTGATGACAAGTTACTAATTCTCAGAAGTCTAGAGTTTTCACCTGAATCTTCGATGAGCAAAGCTGCTTAAAATATTCATTCTAAATTGATCTCCAATTTCCAAACCAAATGATAAATACGTATGACTGTTAGGATCTTAGTGCACAGATCCCGTAGTTGTTACACAATCTCAACTTAATGCTAAGTAATGTGAGCTACAACAAATGGTCAAGCAGCAACATCAAAGAAACAGAGTTGCACATATTGTGGAGCTTCATTAAGCCGAACCACCTTTGATTTGTGTTTGCTTAGCCTTCTTTAACACCTATATAGGTATCGAACTATCAACCACAACTTCACTAAGAAAGAAAATCATTAGGAAATATCTCCCGACTGTGGCAAAGCATGCATCTCCTCCATAATTAACATCTTGAATGTGAGTTATGCATAAACTCCAGTTGTGCCGAGAGCTGTCAGTAATATATAAGCTCCATAACAGGCTTGAGTCAAAATTTGTAATATATATGAGAGAGGAGTGAGAGACTAGAGACTAACTTTAACTATGGATCAAATTTTATAGATTGTAGAGGATAATACAGGAAAAATGCATCTAAAGCTTCGAATAGAAGACTTTCATTCCAAATAAGCTGTATCAAGTAGCTTACATGAAGAAGTAGGTCTGATATAAATCCACAACTGGAAACGAGAATAAATATAGATCAGATGGAAGTCAAAGCAGAGAAGACTATGTAAATGATTATAAAACCAGATATGCAAGACAGAGATCGAGATAGAGAGATGGAGAGTTGGGGAAAGAAGCGAGAAGGCTAGAAGCAACTAAACCTGAATTTCAAATTTTCTTTGTTTCTAGAAAAAGCTACGTTATATAATACCACCTAAGAAAGGCCATTATAACATGTAAATCATTGAAAACATATGATCCTTCACCTATCAATTAACTAGAGATGTAAATGTATACCACATAGTACAAGAAATGAAGCAGCCTCAGAAATTACTCAGCTTTGTTATTGTACAACAAAGTTGTGTGCTTTAATTATTGTGCCAAAAAGTTATCATGCATCCTTCAAGTTAATGAATATTCCGAATAAATATAATTTCAATTAATATTCCCAACAAATCATAATAGTCAACACGCAAGAGTAATTAGATCAAAATTGCTGCATTTTGAAACAATCTAAAAGGAAAGACAAGTAAAAGTTAAGTGAAGAGAAGTTAGTGAAACAGTGGAGAATTAGATATTGAGATTGAAGAAAATTTGAAGCTAGATCAGAGGGTGATACAAAAAGACATATTTAGCACCTCAAATCCTCTTCATTTTTGTTTCAGGTATATGACATGATTGTTAAGCCAAGACAGACTTTATTTAGGATTACTCTTTGCTATTTGTTTGGCATACCTTGCTTTCCAGAACATCCATTTGTTCTTGTATAATCTCTCATGTCTTGTAATATTTAGGCGAAGAAGTTCCCAATTTGCTGATGTAAGATGAACTCATTCTTATCAGATATAAAAGGTGAATTTGATATAACACTACTTTCTAATTCAAATATTGATTTTTTTTTTTTTAACTTAAACAGAAACAGAAGAAATATATATTCAGTACTGCTAGTGCATCATACTCTAATAATCCTACACAAGTGGAAGAAGCATGATACATCTGATACTGACAAGAAATGTATATCTAATTAAAGAGATCAAATTATAGAAGAGTTGTCCTCTGACTCCATGGGATCACTGTTACCCACATATCAAATTTATTCTTGGTTAATTTATCATGATAAATGCACACAATATATTTGGTTTTATCGCACTCATAACTCCATGTCCCATTGGATCTTTGCCCATTTACAAGTTCCACAATAACATATATAGTTCATTGCTAGAAAGTGATATTACTATATTGCAATTGCACCTTCATGTGGTTCTTGTACACACTGACTGTGCTTTTGTAATACTCTTCTTATTGGATCACATCTTGAATCTTGCTGTTCTATCCTTTTTTCCTACCCATATAATTTACAATCATATAAGAATCCAATAAAGTAAAACAATCAGGTTTATGCATTTGTAGCCCTCAATCGTCAATGTGTACTTCAGCACATTAAATGTGTGGAAGTCTCTTTCTTGGGGCTTTAGATAGAGTACATTTGTTCTAATATAAGTTTCTTCATTTGTAGTCCTTAATCTTTAAAGTGGACTTCAGGATTGAGATGTGTGGAGAGATCTTTTTAAGGCTCTGAATGGAGTAATATTTTGTGTTTGTCTTTCATAGATCATTTGCTGTTTTCTCTGCCAAAAGATAAGATGGATCAGTATTGCTTGAATGTACTTGATCACTTGACTGACTGCACATTAACTATCAAGAGGATCTTATGTCTCTCTTTACAACACCATGGAAGCTTCACGGGCATTGATCAGAACCTCCTTTCTTATCCAGTCATGGTTAAACAAAAGATTAAAGCATCATGTTCGCCTGACATTTCTGTCTCCCGAGTCATCTTGAACATCCACTAATGCTTATCCATCTGATGTTGAACTAACTTCAGCAAGAATTGATGCAGGCCCAGAAGCAGGAGGAACTTCCAGAGCAGGTCCTCTGCTGCATGAGGTTGAACAAGATTGATCTTGTTGATCATGGGCAAATTCCAACTCTCGTCACGCTCGGCAACTAAAATATCTGAAGAGAGCAAACTAGTTATACTGGAGCCAATTCAAGAATATCCTTCAATGTATTCAATGTAATCCTATTGATGATCCATTTTACTAACATTCTCCGTATATTCGATCCTATCACCTAATAAAGACTATTTATGCAATCGAAGCGTCAGTTCCTTCATATCTTTCATGCTAAAAGCTCTTTCTTCTTGTTGTATGTTTATTCTAAGAAGACTGGCATGCAAAAGAGCAGGTAACCCACTCACTACAATGCTCCAAGAGTCCAACTCAAAGAGTGTGCCTGAAGGTGAGATAGACATTTGTTATAGCACATCATATTGGACTACATTACAAAGTGTGGGATGGAGAAAAATCTTTGAGACATCAATGTTTTGCTTTCTCCAGCTTATGAGTTCTTAAAGAGGCCATTTAATGAAGCATAAGTGTGTTTCTTCTTATTTTGCTAGCGAAGACTGACCTTTAAAATTAGTGAAGTTGATGCTTAGAGACAGACAAGTCGCTGTGTATGACCATCTGTGTGTGTGTTTGTGTGTGTGCATGTGTGCGTGTGTGCGCCGCAAGATATCATCCTGGTGTCAAAAAGAAATATTCACTTATGGGTGTCCGACACATTGAATGGGTATTCTTACGTGGTGACATGCCATCACCTAGTTTAGGTTGTCATGGTTAATTGGGTTCGCCATGTTGGACCTTAGTTGGCTTCCGTTTTAACTGAATTCTATATGGCAAATTACGATCGGTTTCAAATCAAATCAAATCAGTGTGCTCTTTATTTATTATATTAGTGATATTTGGCTTGCACCTCTGTTGTTGGCTACAGATCTTATCGTAGTATTGATGTCTCGGAATTCCGATTTCTCAAGTGAATTTATATCATAACTAATAGCCACCAGTCTTAATCTTAGTTGAGTTTTCCTCAGCTTTGGTAGAGTGGTATAAACTAATCTCATAATGTGATTTTGTTCCTGTTGCACACAATTTAAATTGGTTAAAGATGGAGATTTAAGCCGTGAACTGTAGTGGCTCAACTCTTAAAGAGTTTTTTAATATATTTTGCTTAGCGGAGATTATTGATGGGTAAATATGATAGATAAACTATTGTTGGTATACCTAAAATATTGGATTGGTAGTGCACTGTGTACCAAATCCACTTATCAATATATTTTGAGGGTATCAACTAATTTAGTCGATAAAAACTTTAATAGATTATCATAATATTTTGAGCTCGAATCTCATCTTTTTCACTTATCATTTATTATATATGTATATATATATATATAGTTTATTATTCATTATCTCTTTTTTATTATTGACAATCCTCTTATTATTAATAAACTTTAAATAATAATATATTATTTTATTATTTATAGCTCTCCATCCGAAAACTCTCGCTTCATCCTCACTATCGATACCACGCCACTCGTCATCGTCGATCGTTGTCATCCAATCTTGCTTGTTGCCCCCTCGATGCAGTTCTCTAGGTAAGGAGGAGTAGGAGAAAAAATATTTATAGAGCAATTTAAAGATATTAAAATAATTTTAAATTATATTGTAGATAGTAAAAAAAAAGGAATGTAAATAGTAATATCTACAAACATAACAAAAATTTTGGGAGAAAATGGAATCATCAGATGCAGGATCTAAAACACCATCTGACAAACTTTTCTTACAACTAAAACAGCGATTTGGCAATGATGTAAGAAACCCACTTATGAAATCAAAGGTTTGGAATTCAATATTTCATCTCAAATATTTTGTCAATATTAAAAAAAATATTTTAAAAAAATGAAAAACTAAAATAAACCATATTTTAGATCCTGCATCATCAAACCAAAATAAAAGACGTGAAAGAACGATATTTCAATCACCAAACATGCTAAATTCAGCATCCAACATTTGCAACAATGAACAGAAGAAATCTTCACAAAGTCAGATGATCTTTACGTCCACCGAAACCACAGGAACAATTGCAGGCTCACCGACTGAGGGCTCATCAAGATAGACCTGTGCAAACTCACTCACCATCTCCCTCCTGTCCCTGCAAATGATCTCCTTCCTTTGCTCCTCAGCCTTCTCCACCTTCTCCTTGGTCATCGTGCTCACATCCTCGGCTGCCTTCGCCACCTTGCTAAGTGCACTCGAGACCCACGATGCTCCGGTGGAGACATAGTGGTTGCTCATGATGGCTGATCCAGCATTGCTGGCCATTTGCTCGGTTGCCGCAAGGGCAGACCTGGTGATCCCAGACACCTGGAACTGCTCGTCCACCTCCCTCACCTTGCCGCTGACCATGGCTGTGCCGGTGCTGAACTTCTCGCTTAGGCCCATCTTGCGGTCCAGAGAGGCGATGGTGGCAGATGCAGCGGACAGGAAGTGGTGTCGCTCGTCGAAGGATCGGGCTCTTTTGAGTGCATCCTTGCCAAGAACAAAACCTTTGGCCAACATGGTACTTACCACATCTTCTGTCTTCCCGACTGCTGCATTGGTCGGCGATGACTCGTCTTCCTTTCAAGCACAGGAAACACACACAAGAAATAAAGAGATGGGACCTAAACCAAATTGCAGTATATCACAATTAGATTTCCATATTAGAATCCTTGGGATGTCGCACGAATGAGATTATGTTCACTTAAACCAAAATTTTGATGAAAAGTTCACCTAAAAGCTATACGCCTAATCTTTTCTAATTGCTTGAGTAACTTGATCTATGGGACGAAGTTGAATGATGCTAACAAACCAGAAGAATTTGAATGACATAAGACAAAAAAAAGTAATTTCTTTTTTGATCGTGTGATGGAGAACTCTATTGGAACCAAAAAGACATACACACAAATAGGTTTGCTTTTATGGAGAAGTATTCTCATCTCATGCAAACACAACCTAAAACAAACAAAATTAGGGTAATAATTAAGAGTTACCAGTGTGCGCCTGCAAGCTTCAGGTGGCAACTGGTAATTTTCAACCCGTGAAATAGTGACACAACGATCAACTATAGTTGATCCCTGAAATCAAACAGAACATATATTAGAACCCAAATTCTCCAATAATACGTACAGTAAAGCAAGATGCCTTTGAATTTTAGAATTTTGAACTCACCGAAAGAAGAAGTGCAGTATCTGCTCCCTGTGAATCTTTGAAAGTGACATAAGCAAGCTGAGACATTTCTGATTCTCTGCCAAAAGAAAAAATTCCATTTTTTTTTCCTGGTCAAAAGTATCAAACACACAAGAGGATAATAGAATGACCTTTGCATTTCGATGTATTTGATATGCCCAGAGAAAGAAAAGAATTCTTCGATATCCTTCACAGACGCAGCCGAAGAAACATTGTTAATTTTGACAGTTGTTACCTGCACAAGGAGAAAAAGAAAACAACTTCTCCTTAATTCTGACACATAGGCTTAAAATTAAAAAAAAAATTCTACATGAAGACCGAGAAATATGATAGCAAACATGATGCATAAATAAAAGAGCAACCAGAAGAAATATATCCAAATAAATATATCCCCCAATACAATCTACTCGTCATGAACTAAATAAAATGAATTTAGTTAAACTGGAATGGACTTTCCGACCAGCAGATGGAGCAAGCCAAGAATCAAACAATGCTATCAGTTACACCAATCAATGCATAGAAAAACAAAGCTATAATCCTCACATCTGAAACATCAATTGTCCAGTTTGATGCATTCATTGGCTGGGGATCTGCCCCTGCCCTCAAATTGCACTGCTCCATTGGAACCTGCAAGTGATGAACCATTAAAACCTCATACGTCAAAGCAAAGATCCAAACAATTATTTGAAATGAATTAGAGTACATGAAACTAGCTCCTGCGCTCAAAAAGGGATAGTCACAGACTTTTTGTTTGGTGTATCTAATAGATAAATCACCTAGAAGAGTAGCTAATATTATGTTACAAACAGGATGAAACTGACAACCTTTAAAGATTCAAGATTAGCATGAGTATAGTCAGAAACAACAATATATGAAGCTAGTAATGGTTGTCCAAATTGCCCAAATCACAGACTTCATCGCACATCCTATTACAGAGGATCCAGCAAACTAGTTCAGAAAGTAATTTGATTCTATATCCTACGGGTGTTCAAAGAGATTCGAACTAAACCATTAAGATCGATTCGAATCAAATTGTGAAAAAAGAATTTGATTCAGTTAAAGCAAGATACTCCGAACTGGAATCATTTCGGACCTACCTAATCGAATCAGTACAAAATTGGTTAATGCGATTTGATTAAATGATTAATCTATATATATATATATATAATGAACCATTTCATTTTAATTGAACCAAACTAGAATTTTAATTCAATTGGACCTACATTCTTCAAAAATTTATATCACAAATATCATTCTGAACATTATAAACAATTGGACCTATGCACATGTGATATTTTATTTTTTATCGAAAGATGTCATAGAGAAATAACAACTTCACATACAGTCCTTTTTTCTTGATGATGAGGATATACAATGATGCATACAAATCAACAAAGGGATTGTTAATGGAGAAGGATGATAAACAAAAAATATGGTTCATACCTAAAACGAGAGAGAGAGAGAGAGAGACCAACAAAGGGACAATGAGTAAGAGTCGTAAAGACCAAAGAAGAACGGTGGCTTACTGAGTTCGGGAAGGGATTTTAAGGCTTTTGGGGCCTTTGGGTTGAGTTAGTATTTTTTAAATTAAAATCGGTTCGGTTTTGTCCGAACCAAAGAAGAGCACCCTCCTAAACTAAAGCCATTTATAATCTTCAAAACCAAATAATTGATGAACCAATTCGGACTAAATCGATTTGAAATAATTTGATTAAGGTTCGACTCGATTTTCCGATTCGATTCCAAACACCCTCCATAAATTCTCAATAGGATCTCTGTATTCAAGTACCAGCGGTCTCCTCTGTGCAGTCTAACAATGTATGAAATGATCATTGCCATTTTATCTTCGGTGCAGAATATTAAGAAGTTTGTTTATGATTAAGTTAATAAAATGTGAAATAACCTAATTTGCTAAGTCAATAATATTATGATTGTTTCATTTGACCATAACTCCCCGTAAAGATCATGACTTGCTATTACTGCATATAGAACTTTCATATCAGTCCGCCTTCAGAAGGTTCGGGTATGCAATTCCCATCAGTAAAAGAGGAAAACAAGAAGAACCAAAATAATCATAATAGCACATTGTGCAAAAAAAAATCAATTATCTCCTCGAAACTGGCATGTTCTTTTGGGCTCTCCTCTCCCTGATTTCGCAATACAAATATTCTTCGTTTTATCCATGTTCGATCTCTAATACTGTATCAACCAAAAATTCGCTCATACATTCCTCGTGAAATACCATCCTCCACAAGTCACCTATCATGTCATCTCACAACAAAAAATCTGTTCCTTATTTTCCTTGGCCAATCGATTCCAATCACAAAGCATAGTACTTAAATGGATTCTTCCCAAATCCACAGTTCGAACCCAAGAATCCGCTCGATAGAAACTGATACAACCACGTGATTGGAAGAATTGGAAACCGAAGAAGAACAGATCAAGTCTCGTCAGATTTGAAAGTCAACTAGAAGAATCAGAAACTGAAGGAGAACAAAGCAAGTCTCGTCAGATTTGCAAAAAAAGGGATCGATCGACAAAATTGCTCCAAAGAAAAGAGGGGGTAAAAGACGGAGGGATCAGCAGCTCACCGACGTTTCGTCGAATCCTGAAGATAACCGAGCGTGATCGGCTAAAAGGGCGAATGATGGAGCTTCGATGCCATCGAGAATTCCGAATCGACTTGGGGAGGGTGGGGAGAAGAGGAGAGGAGAGGGGAAGGGAAGGGAAGAGAGCTCTCAGTTTCATTTCCAGTTGCTGGGCCGCTTGGCCCGGCGGGAGGGTAGCGGAACCGTTTGATTCGAGCCAGGAATGCCTGGAGATTCGCGTTCGATGGGAGATGCTCTGAACACGAAAATTCTACTTTTTAAAATCGCAAAAATGCTTTTTGTTTTGATTTTTTACCATGAAGTTTTTTTCTTAAATAATATCCTTCTTTTTCTTTGTTTTATCTTTTTTTTCTCCCAGTATATTATTATTTGGTTTTAAGAGAACAACCAACTATGGGCCAATAAATCATTCATTACAAATAACTAAAAATACTATTTTATAAAAATAAAATAATTGAAATAACCAAAAATTGATATCAATTTTATTGTTTTAAAAAATAATATAATATTTTTTAAAAATAGTGTGATCGGCTTATCTTCTTCACCAATTTACAGTTAGCTAATTATATGGTTTATGGTGTGGTACTTACAAATATTTAGTCAATCATACATATTGCCCGCTTCCGATGTAGGACTAATGGGATGTTACAAAAATATCACATACAAGTCACTTATAAAAAGTTTAACTAAAAAATTATGAATTGATTTATTTTGAAGTTAGTTAGTCAGTTACAATGTGCAATTCCACACAATATTAATTTTGTTTTGTGAAAATAGGAATGATATTGAGGTTCTTATACAAATAAAAAAAAATCAAAAGTGAACCTTATTTTTAAAATTCAAAGTGAATATTTGGTAATTTTTTATTATAAAATAAAATGCTGAATGACAGACAGACACTGTAAAACTAACATTTAGCACTATTAACATATCAAAGATATCACTGTTCTATAAATGGTTTCGGTCAAAGATTATGGTAATTGACGTGTTACTAAATCAATTGAAACATTATAATATTTTTTCCCATTTTTAAATAGAAAAGGAGATAATTTATATTTCTGGTCTAATGAATATTTAAAAACCAAAATTTATACCTTTCTGACTCATTTCCTACTGCTTACATTTTTTTTCAATATAATTTCTTAAAATAGAGTAAAATTATGTTTTAATTATATTTGATTCCAACTGATTAATATAGAAACAATTTCGATTACAACATTTGAAATTCGACTCGATTATGTTTAGAATGATTAATTATACTATTTTAATGCATTTAAAATTTACGACAAATATTACATTTATGATATTTAATGGGAAAAATGTCAAAAAAGTTGTTTCATTTTCAGAAATTACCTATCAACGAACCTTTTTTTTACATAATACCTAAAATACCCCAATCACCTTATGTTATATTTTTGTATTACATTATAATATTTTTTTAATATTACTGAAAGTACTCTAACATAATTAAAAATAATAATATAAATATAATATTTTCATAAACTTTATTTTAAAAAAAATATTATGTTACAATGTTTCTATACTGCATTAAAGTATTTTGCTAATAATACTGAAAACGTTATAACTGTATCCATTCATCCTATAAACTGATCCATAGAAAAAAAAAAATAGAAATGAAGGGAGGAAAAGCTAAAAAGGAGAGACATTTTCTAAGAATTCAACCATATTGAATTATAATATTTTTTTAATATTTATCATGTATATAGAGACAATAATAAAGCTTCAAATATACCACTGAAAGTAGATATAGTATGATGATGAATCATATAATCTTATAGAGTGAGCTGGCAGGAGCATTTATGATAACAATATTTTTAAGTAATTAGTAATTTTACTTTTATTATTTTCTTTTTAAAAAAGAAAAAAAAAGAAGAAAAACTACATGAGAACTCCTTGACGCCAATAATGGAATTGTAATAAAAAAAATAGCTACCTCTAACCTTGGCAGTATGTTAAATGACAAAAAGAGGAGCACTGCATCAAACACACACTAGGATTCACAGAAACCCTAAAGAGGAGCTCTCAGTTGCCTGCACAAGCAGGAGCTTGGAAGTCCTTGAATCTGACAAAAGCAATCGAGAGTGGAGCAATCGTAAGAGGAGCACCAGCACTGACGATGGAAGGCTCCATATGCGGTATCTCAAAGCTCGGTGTAAGCTTCAGCAGCTTCCCGTTCAAAAGCATTTCACTGCTCCTGAGGTCTCCACCTTGAGCTGTGAGATGGTATTCCTCCCTCTCCCCATGTTGTCCTTGTTCATTGCCCGAGCGAGGTTGATACAAGTTCAAGTCGCTGGTGACCACGACGTCGAAGGCGGTGGAGTTAGACAGGTTTATCAGCAAAAGCGTAACACCCGACTGCAAGAACAAATCAACGGTAGCATGTAAGATCGTGCGAGAGAGGAAGACAGTGATTCTTCTTATCTTGCCTTCTTCTTGGAGCAGTGAGCGTATGCACGAAGGTAAGGCGAGCCGTCGTTTGTTGTGTGAAGAACTCCCGGACCCATCAGTTGGTGCCAAAGCAAAGCACTGGTTGTAGATAAAAAGGAACATAGAAGAGATCTCACTCTAGAACTGCAGCGCTTGACAGAAAACATCACACAAGTTCTGTGGAACAAACCCGTAGAAATCTGGGTTGGGGACGAAGGTTGTGGTGTCCAGGAGACAGTAGTTTCCTCCGATCAAACTTTGCCGACAGTAGACCTTGTGGTTGTATGTGGATGCCATGCCCAGCTGATCTAAATACCTAGTCAGTGCAGAAAAGATTTGAAACGTAAGAAAAGATCCGAACGTGATCATGTGGGCGTCGATTGAACTCACCAGAATCCATCCACAAACGCATTGGAGACACTTTTGCCACCGCTGTTGTAGGCACCTCCGGACTCGCCGATCCAAGGAGAACTCCACGGGCCGAACTCCCCGACAGTGATCAAGGCATCATTGAAGGTCTGAGCTACTTGATCCAGGTAATATGGATCCTGGATCTTGCGGATAAGATCCTTATCATTACCTGACCACAGAATTCGAGTGAAGACGGGAGCTCCTCTCGGATCATAAGCTTAGAACAATGAGAAGGATGAGATGATTCACCTGGGCCGAGGTTGTAGATATGGTGTGTTGCTGCATCAATGACACCGGGTCCTGATGTCTGAAGCATGTCAGCGAACCATTTCTTGTCGAAGAATCCTCCTGGTGCCAAAAGTTTTGGGTGTTGTTTGGATTGTCCATACAGATCATTGATGACATTCTTCAGGACGATCATGTCCTTGCCATACTGCACAGCTTCAACACTTGCGGCAACTCCAGATCCAGAGAGCTCATTTCCTAGAGGATACACAAGGAAACAAAGCGCTGAGATGAGAAAGAGTTGCTCTGAATGCAGAAAGAATTCTGATTGCGTTGCTGTGGCAATCACCTAGCTCCCAGGATTCAATGGTGTAGTTCTTCGACAAGGTATACTTGATGAAGTCACGAGCATTTGTAGGGTCCCATTGACCTTCATATAAATTTCCACTGGAGTTTGACTTCGACCTCCCAGCTAATGCATTCAGTCCAAAAGAAATTATGGAGCTGCAAACAAAGATCACAATAACCACATTTTAACAAAAACATTGGAACATTGAAGCTATGATGCAATCAAATTTGAAATAAGACAACTTTTAGATGTAGATTACCCTGTACTATTGAAAAGCTTGTTGAGTTCATCCCATCTTTGCATGGGAAGACAGCCTTCGGTGAAGCCAAACAACCCATTCTTGTCAATCTTGAAGTCTGGGCATGCATGGGCACCGTCACCCACTTCGTACAACACTTGGTCCTGCAGTGACCCTCCAATTCTAATCCTCAAAGACCCAAAAGCTGTCACCACAAACAAAACCTTAATCTCATGTTTTTGCAAACCAAGTGTAATTACTAATTGGATTAAAGGGGAGAAGAATGCTAGCTATCTCAACCGACCTTTAAGAGCATTGACAAGAATGGGATTGTTCAAATCCTGCAAAATATACCAATAAAATCATCTGTTGCTGTCAGGTTAACAAAAAATGAGTGCACAGGGATGCCTAAAAGTGATATACCAATAAAATCATGAAGAAAAAACATTAATATGCGCGTATATCTATTTGAGCAATGGTTTATTAACCTGCCTCATATATCTCATCCAGAAGAAACCTTTGATATGTATATTGGACTTTTTTTTTTTTTTGGGTATTGACAACTCAGGATATCAAAATAAAAAAAACGATAAATGTGTTATCATCTATTTGAACATATCTGCTTATGCATATTAATTCTCATCAATATATACACGCTAACAAAAGTGAAGATCGCCTTTGTTACACATCAAAAAGAAAAGATTTGACATAAAGCAATGATCAACTAAGTGAAACGACGTACATACACATATATATGTATATATTCCTCTGTGGATAGTTCTTCATATCTGACATGAAACATGAAATCACAGGATAGAAACCGAGTTCCAGGTTACTGTGTATCTTGGCGAGCATATGAAGAACGTGCGTCAAGCAAAACATCGTTGCATGATTCTTCACATGCATGGATGCAGATCAAAGAGTAGGAGAGTGAGAGACAAATACCAGGTTGAGAATGGATGCGTTCCCCCAGGGACACATGCCGTAGTTGCACTTGTCAGGTGGCCACCAATCCATGGTTGCACACACGAAGTTATCATCCGTTTTCGCAATGGTGGTCACTGCCTTGATAGAGACTACTGTCGCGCCAAGGGTGGGAGATAAACCAGAAAAGAGAAGAAGGAAGAGGAGGGGGACGGCGAAAGAGAAAAAAGAGAGCGGCATTGTTTTATGCATGAGGAAGACACGAAGATGAGAGGTGAGGTCAGAAGAGGAGGAAGGGCGAGGGAGGCTTTAAGAAGGAACGACGAAATGGAGTTGTTGTGCTCTTAGTTTTAGATAGAGATGAGAGGATGAATCTGTTAAAGAGTCCCTTCGCTGTTAAATTCTAAAAGATAAAAGTAGCGATGGTCTAAGATAGCGTAACCAAATGTTGATGTCGATATGACTTTAGGAAGTTTTCCCATTTTATGTTTTTTTTACTTGCATATTTTGGATTTCCATTATTATTATTATTATTAGGTGAAAGTGGTGGGTGAATGAAAATGGAATTTAGTCGGCCTTTGGCAAGTGGACCATTACCGATATTTTAACATATAAATTTATCAGAGAGGCTTTAAATTCTCATCTTTAATAATTATATAACGTGTAGCCATGATATATAGTTGACTTATTAACTTGATATACATCTGGATCATATGGCCTAAAATTTATAACATGTGGAATTATAGTATAATATTAGATTAGGTGTGAAAAAAATATATATATTATACGGGGAATTAAGCCTATTTTCATATTAATTCTTTAAATAATACTCTTCATTTCCAAGACAGTTTCACACTGATTTCTCATGGCCTGAACCCGATTCCATTCCTTATTTAAAAGAAGAATATTCTTATCAGTATTTCTTATTTTATAATATATATATTAATGAGTGCGTTGGCAATTACAAGATGCTATTATTGGAAAAGATATTAGTCATTCCCTTGTGCGCATAATTGACGTACATTCTCATTCTCGTTATGCACAGGATTTAAATATTATCATATAAATCTTATATGGTAAGAGAGAGAGAGAGAGAGAAGAGAATCTAATAAATCTTATATGAAAAAAAAAAACAGTCGAACACGAGCAGCAAGGATCATGACACACCTCAAATTTACTATTTTATTTTTCCATACCTTATAGGAAAATAGAGAAGAATAATCTGACAAGTCTTTCCACATCATGAAGACACACGAACATGAGATTTGGTGTTCGGCTGACGGATGAAGAAATATATCAAAGAAAACCGAAAGATCATCCAATTGAATGAATGGAGAAAATTTTTAGAAACACAAATCTACATTCGACTTAAAAATAATGCGGGTAGAGACGCAAGCTGAAGCTCTACAAACAAATAATTCAGTAGCCCTCGTTAAAAGAAAATGCCATCCAACTATTTCATGAGCAGTATCCAGCGTTCACAAAGGAAACAAGCAAATGATAGCAAATCCATTATAACTTTTACGTACACACCTGCCGAAATAATTAAACTGAAGAAAAATTTGTACCATCAGAATCACGCATCGAGCGTAGAATTAGCCAGAGGATGCTAGAGAAAATATTCATATAAATTTACAAGAACAAATAGTTCTATGACAAACAAATATTTAGGTGAACTCATGACCATACATTTTGCCAGATTCAATAGCTTTATCCTCCCTGACAAGTTCCCCAAGACGGTGGATGATTCAGAAAGGAAAAATGGATTGTACCGATATATAAGGTTCTCGATTACACAGTTTTCTTCACAAGGCAGGACAGCCCCTAATTCACATAATTTACAAAGGGAAGACACAAAAGGCTAAACCGATTTGATTTGATTAGGAAACCTAATCGTAGGAGACCAAAGCTTTCAACTCAGAAAAATGCCTCATGAAGGGCAACACAAGATAAAGCAAGCAAGCAATTACCCGACACTAATCAAGAACTGCCAAGATCACGACAGCTAGGCTTTCACTTATCCAAAGGTTCTTTTCCAAACACCTCCTCTATCACGTTACATGTCGAAAAGAAGTCATCTTTCTCTGTTCCACAGCTATACCTCATATCCCATGATTTTAGATCAGAATGGCCATCAAAGAAACCATAATCTGCTAACCCACTCAGACCATCATTGCGGTGCTCGTTGTGCAAGTTCTCATGGTCCTCAATCAACCCATGATGCAAGTCAGATATATCAACAGCATCACATGAAACAACCCCGTTGTGCTGGCCCTCATAAGATGTGCATGAATCATCCTGAATGTCATGCTCCTCCATGAAATGGTGCAAATTGCTCGCAGTCATGCTAGAATGAAGGGTTGACTCACCAACAATGTGTCTGTTTATATCACCAGAGGGCTGTTTCTCATTGTACCCAGCAAGGTGGTAATAAACACAATCCTCTACATCATCATCTTCCTCGGCTATTTCTGCTTCCTCGAGATCATCCTCTTCACCAGCAACATCTTGATCTGCTGGAGGAGATTCGACAACAGAATCTTCTTCTTCCGTTGAAGATTCACCATCATCACTTTCTTGCCATTCATCATCATCACTGTCTACATGCAGTGGATCCAATCTATTCTGTTCAGCTCGCTTTCGAAGCATGAATACGTTGAAGTAGTAGCTTATTAGTTCTTTACTACTTCGAGTAGGAAACACCTGAGGCAATTTCTTCCAGAAGTTCTTGCCCAGCGATGCAGGATTTAATAACACAACTTCATAAAATAGTTGTTCCTCCTCTTCAGTCCATTTTTCAGTTACAACCTCGCCCATATTGCCAAAACCCAGCTCTAAAAATGTTTTGTGCCCCAACTTTTGCTTGAGCTTTTGTCTAGCTTGCATCACATGCTGCCTCACACATCTAATCGAACCCACATCTAGACAGCTACACTCCATCTTATGGTAGGCTAAAACATCTGAAGCCAATACCGCAGAATCAGGCATAGGAATTACACATGTCCCAACCCATTTATCACCGTCATCCCCATCAATTACAACATTATCACACGACAGTGAAGTTGTCACTGGGGTCATTGGAGATGCACAAACATCATTATCCCTTATATGGTTCTTAAAATCTTGGGACCCCCACTCTGGAAGATCAGCCTGATGATTAGCACCAATAGGAACATGTTTCCGACCATGGTAATCAAAAACAGGTGAATATCTATCCTCGACTTGATCAGATTCAGTTGCCTGACAGGTATCTCCATAATAACTAGGATAGGAAGGTATCCTGATAGGTGAGTCCAAAGCAGATTCTCGGCTGAACCAATTGCTGCTAGTTGCCTGATTAACAATATCACCAGCAACAGCAGCAGTCCCTCTATACTTCCTATCCTCAGAAGCAACTAGAAACATAATTGCACCATCAGACAAATTTTACTCTCCTTAAAAAATATATTACCTGATTAAAGCATGGAAATAGCTAAGTATTCAAACTACCTGAAGGTGACTCCTCGAAAGCACTGATGCAAATTTTGGACGAACACAATTGTAAATTTTGGTCCGCTTGCTTCAAACGCTTGCTACCATGTTCACAAGTCTCACCATCACAAAGAGATCGTTTGCCATTATCTATCCAAATATCCATGCTAGTGTTGCCTGTCACCCATGACAGACTAGGATTGCCACTGAGACCATTATGAGAGTTGTCATAGGAATGATCAGCAGTTTCGTTCTCAAAATCTTTGTGACAGCTCAAAAAATCCTTCTTCCCTTTACCTTTAAATCAGAAGAAAATGATAAGGATATATGGGCTAATAACTGTACAACTTGCAGATTAAAAGTTTCCTTTAGTTACCTGAAGCTGGTGATTTAGCAGGGATAGCCAGAGATGGAGAATCTTCAGCATATTGTGCAAGTTGATCATCAGAAGCCAGATGTCTTGCACGCTCATAAGCAAATCGGTCAGATGTGTGATCAGCAGAAGATTGTTTGCTATGGTTGAACACCATCTTTAACCTGCATTACATAACAGGGAAAATAAGTTCAAATGGACAAGTTACCAAGTAAAACAATTTAGGAGAATAAGTGATTAACAATATTGTATGACAATAAAAGTTCTGACAATTATACAACTAGCCATCAAGTCAACATCAACTTAAATTCTATGCTGAATTCTTAATCGGGGAAATTTTAATAAGATAGAAGGAATAGCCAACATGGCAAAATCCCTATTGAATTAGTTACATTTTAAGCTTGTGCAACAAAGGAGCAACCTTACGATGCTTCCCTAGATCACAATAACAACTAGGTAAAGTGAATATTTTGATTTGACCAATCATTAATGTATATCAACCTGATTATTCCCAAACTTGCTATGAAAGCAACCAAACAAGAATGAAGAGTTCACAAATGAAAAAAAGTATGAACCAACAGTAATCAAAATCACGTAAGCAAGATGGACAGCCTCAAATGCTAGGAAGGATAACATAGCTCACAAGAAGATGAGTGGCCAGTCACTGTAACTTGCCTCACATTCTGTCAGAAGGAATGTCCACAATCAAGGGAGAAATGATTGGCTTCATAATGAATTCTCAGGACAAAAACTTGTGTGACTTGAACTATTAACATGACCTATTTTATTCTCCTCCGTCAAGAAGCAATTTACTGCATCTCTTAGGCAAGAAAATTTTGCAGATATACTAAAATAGGTGAATAGAGATTTTGACCAGTGACCATTAAATACATCATGCTAGACTGAAGGGTAAAAGGAGGATTGCAGTCAGGTGCACATCCACAGTTTGATCATGCTAAAAGGAAATTGTAAGACTCAATCTAAGTTGATCCTATTTGTCCATTCATTGGCAGAAACGTCACAAAAGTAAAACAGGTTCGGTGCCAATACCAGTTGGTGAAAAAACTGGTAGAATACCAACATGGATCAACATACCAATACATACAGTCAGTACCAGTTGTCATCACATCCTATATGAAATTTTTGTTCCTAAGATACAAAAATGTGACAATCTTTCCACAACCATCCAATCCAGAGTGCAGTATAAAAGTAAACTAATTTTCTTCAAACAAATATTTCAATTGATTTCATAAAAAAACAATTGTACTGTCTGACAAAAAGCAAAAGAAGCTCTATCAACTTGCATTAGAAATCATAAAATATTAGGTCTCCTCGCAACAACACCTGGCAATAGATGAGTAGATGATGGTCTTCTCTGTGCCAAAATCGCAATTAATATCAGAAGGTTGAACTGAAAAAACAATAACAAAAACAGAAGATAACAGCAAAGATGCTGAGTAGTATCCTCTCAAAATACCATCTCATAACATATAACAAAGCCTCAAACTGAGTAAATCATAAACAAATGTCAATCAGTTCATGCCACATATCATTATCAAAATCATCACGAGTCTCGAGTCTCATGTTCATAAGATGGAGTAGGTTGGGCAATCAATAGTGCACTCAACGGATGGAGTGGTCTTACCTCACGGGATGGACTCCTTATGTTCCCAACAATGAATAGATGATGTGGTGCCCCTCATCTGCCAAAGTGAGAATATATTCCTTCCTACAACGAAGGAACTATCTCTGAAAGCCCACTAATCGCCTAAGGGAGTTGCCCTACCAATATTGGCCTACGAGAAACATAGTCCTCATATCACAGCTTATATCAGTCATTTTCGTCATATAATCCAATTTCACATTACAATTTCATCAATTTCATTCAAATCAATAACGAATACATCAACAAATCTTTGAAATCCATCAAACATCCATATCATCAAATGTCGATCCATCTACAACACCTAATTGAACCCTAGCAAAAGCGGTCCAATTGACTTGAACCGAATTGATTTCAGGTAAAACCCAACTGAATGGCATCAAATTAACATAAAACCAGCCTTCAACCTAAACTGGTCTAATTGGATTTGGGATGGTCAATTTAAGCTAAACAGACTTAAACCGATCAGAATTGATCTGGAATCACCTGGAACCAGCCAAACCGATCTGGTTCAGCCACCATACAGGACATAGACCGGCACAAAGGGCTAGAGGATGGGCTACGAAAGGGCCACAAATGTTGAGCCATTGTGGCCCATGAGCAGGCCAAACTTGAGATATAACAGAGGATTTGAGCAGAGCTTCTATTGAAGCATGAGGGATCGGCCCATCATTAAATAAAATGGAGCATTTCCCACTAAGGAAATTAATCATTTTATTTTTAGAAATAATAACTAATTAAATAAATCTATCCTATCCTAACTGACCAACACTAATCAAGAATTATATCTCCACTAGGAAAATATTTCGTTAGGCTTATCCAAACAAGGAGGCAACTAACATGTTTGGAGAAAATTATAATTTATTATACTCCAATTTTAGAAAAACAAATTAAAAATATTTGGAAGTTACATTCCTTCCCTTAAGAAAATTTGGAGCCCAAAATTACTTTACCTTAAGGAAATAAATGTGGATATTGCTCTATGATATCCTCTTCCTTTCCCAAGTGGTTGGTGTTGCTAATGAACTTTAACATAACATATGTTCCTTTCCAAAATTTCCTTAATATATTTTGATATTAGTCAACTTATATTACCGCAAAAGTTGACATGTAAATAACATGAAATGGATCTCTAATATATTTTCGAAGCATCGAGACATGAAATACAATATGAATGCCTATAAGTGCTAGGGCAAGGTCAATCGATAGGCCACATACCTGAGATTCTACAAAATTTCAAAAGGAACAATAAATCTTAAAGTTAGTTTACCCCTCTATCCAAATCCAATAACTCCTTATATCAGGTATACTTTCAAAAAGAAGTAATCCTTAACCTTAAATTCTGAGTACCTTCTTGTTCAATCTGCATAGCTTTTCAATTGACTCTCTCTTCGTTGACTGAGGTCAAAGAAGCTTTTGTTCTCCAACATCATCCCAATACACAGGTGACCTACAATTTCTTCTGTAAATTTCGAAAGAGGCCACATGGACAGGCGAAGTCAATTAGGTGCACATTCTTATTCAAATTCCCTCCTAAATGCAAGGTACAAGCTCTTACGAGATCATATAAGGTTTGTATTGTCCTTTTCAAATTAACCATCTTCTTGAGAATCAAATATTGTACTAATTTCAAATTGAGCACCAAAGCCTTTTGTAAGTGATATAGGACGAGTAATAAAGGATTTTTTCAATGACAGAGGACTAAAAAAGATAGGTAGAAACTAATAATACCTGAAAGATAATAAAAAATAAAAGGATAACTACTAGACTCGCTCTAGCTCAGAAAGGAGCAAACTCCCAAAGTGAAGGCCTCACACCTCCTCCGTATGTCTCATACTGGTCAATGGAATCATAACATTAAAAAAAGAAATGTGGCCTCATATTCCTCACACATAAAGTGGTAAGAAACTCAATTTATAAATTGATCCATTTCTAATGATCTTCATTACAATGTTCTAGCCATTTTAATATATGCTCCAATACAAAAAAAAAAAGTAAAAGTAAAGAAAACTATACTTACATAAAATCAAATTTTCCTCTAATGAAGATAATATTCTTGACTTGATCTCAAGAATAATCTTTCCTTTCTAATATATCCTTCATTGATAGATTTTTATCTTCATATAGATGAATCCTTAAGATCTTTAGCCAAGATTTGTAATCTTCAATTAATATTTCTTTCTTTTTCTCTGTATTTGTTTTCTTTTTTTCGACTTGAATAGATATTGTCATGTGACAACTTATAACATATACAAAATTCCCCTAAACTAATCAATAAACAAACTTAATTGCTCCTGCATCATATGTTTCCACTGTGTATGAACTCGCCCCGAGTTCATATAATTAAGATTTAGATTGACGCACATCTTGGCTAAATCAAAATCTCTGATACCAATCAAGTAATAATTTTTTTTTATGACAAAGGACAAGAAAATTGGTAAAAGAATAATAATAATAGAAAAATAAATGGATATTTATCATACTCACTCTAGCTCAAGGAGCGAACTCCAAGGATTAAGGCCTCGCACCTCCGCACGTCTCCCACGTGGACAATAAATCATTAAAAAATATATATATGACATAGCATCACTAACATAGAAGAACTCAAGTTAATGATTATTTATGATGATCTTCATTACTAAGTTCTAGCCTTTTTATAGGCCCAAGTACAAGAAAAAGATGTAGAAATAAGAAAAATTACAGTTGAAACAAATCAAAATGCCTTGTTAGTATGAACACTGACATGGTACATGACATATAGCAATCCAAGCTGTGTTGCATGCATGGCCTTTAGTATTCCAAAGCATGGTACATCGATGAGATTATATTACCATATTGCATAATTTCTGTACAACCTCACAATAATCTTATTGTACATGTGGAATATGCAATCATATGCATCAAGAACATAAACACTAAAATGTGATCACATGTGAATATATGGACTTTATACTATATACACTGTCATTTTCAATACTGATCAATGAAAATATAGCATTAATTGCTTAGACTTTTACTTATTTCATAAATGACAAAATGTCAACCAATAAATTTTCGATATGATCGGTGTAAATCTACCTACTACATATTTGGATTTGACCACATCATTTGTTACACTTAAATATCCAGATCTTGGATACTTAATACGAACCACATTTGTCACTGCACATACTATATATGAATAAGATACCCTGACTTTCTGCAGATTAAGACCACTTTTTAGAAAGCTAGTGATCATGATGTGTCCATGACAATATCATACTCCATGCTGTAACCTGGCAGAACAAGTCAGCATACATAGCAAGGCAACACTGGCTAAGAGAAAACTGGGATAATAAGCATGTTAAACGCACAAAACTTTTGAATTTTGCATCATTAAGATGCTTTTGGGTGATGAATAATTGTCTTTTTACTCCTTCATATAGATAATATACCTTTTCCTATCTAGAGTAGCACACAAAACAAGTAATATTTCATCAAGTGTTTTTCTGGAAAGCCATTTTGCATAAGCACCCACATTTTTGTAATTAACAATAAAACATGAAAAGTATGAAAATGCATAAAATTGTGCATAGAAAAAGATGCAAACCCCAATAAATTTCCTCTTTAATCAACATAGGTATCTAGAACAAGAATGTATTTCCAAACAATATAAAATTAAACTAGGAGCAACAAATAAATTTCTGCAGTGTTAAGAAAGAATAATTTACTTGCCAAATAACTGAAAGCATAAAGACAGGAAATGGCGCTTTGTGCTGCAATTTACCTTTAAGGAGTAATCCAACAAAAGATCTAGCGCTCCACGGAACAGCAGTCAATTAACAAAATTAGATCAAAGGTTACAAGGAAATGGCAAAAAAATATTGAAGAAAAGATGTCCTAACCTAACCAACAAGCTGACACTTGCCTATTTCAGATATTAAAAAAAAAGTTATAAAACCTAGGACCTAATTACTCCCGACAATAAGTCCAAACAAGTAAATTCAATCAAGACACCTTAAATTCGACAGGTAAACAAGATTTACCCCAAGAAATTGGTAGCATCAGAGAGCTTATTTGTCAGAATTGAAGCGACCCGATCTCGATGCCACAGGTGTAACGATAACACTAATCGCGATAGGGGAAAGGCTGCAAATAAAATAAGTCCTAACAAGCAAATTCAATCAAGAGACCTTCAATTCGACAGGTAAACAAGATTTACCCCAAGAAATTGGTAGCATCAGAGAGCTTATGTACCAGAATTGAAGCGACCCGATGTCGATGCCACAGGTGTAACGATAACATTAAATCGCGAGAGGGGAAAGGCTGCAAAATCCAAAACAAGATGATGGAAGAGGAGATCTAGGAACAGGGATTCGACAACCCAGAGGATCGAGAACACGAAACAAACCCTAACCCTCGGATCGATCTCACCGACCAGGTAACCAATCAGGACAAATCCAAATAGGGCAAACACTGAAGGTTAATTTAAGAATCTATTGATGCAACAGATCCGGAGATAGAGTGGCGACGTCGAGGTCCCAACAAACTCTAACCCTAGAAGCGTTCGCACGCTTCGAGTGGCGACCAAATCGGCACCGATCGAAAGAGGACGACGAGCTCGGATCGAAGACGTCGTCGATTTGGGGATTTGGAGTAACAATCGGAGGGAAATCTGGATCAAAATCGGTGAATTTGGCTGCGAAAAGGAAGAAAGGGGACAAAAAGCAGTAATTACCATATTATTTCTATCGCGTGTCGCGACGCTGTTAGGTGGTGGGTTGTTAAAGCCGACCCAATTTACTAAAATAGCCTAACACGGTCTCTAAATGACACAAAAGTGTTTTCTCCTTATTAGTAATAAGTGTTCACCTAAAGAGTAGTTTAGTCTAGAAATTGATTTATGGTATTTATTAAAGATAGTATGGGTAAATAGCATATAATAAAGAGATTATTATTTGTAACCATATTTGTATTATTTACGATTGATATTTCTATGTTATTCCTTTGTCAATTGTAATAAAATATTTCAAGCCTTATATAAAACCTCTTTTTCTCTTTTATTTCTTCTCCTCCTCCTCCATGTCCAATGAGATTGACTACGATGACATTCGTAGCTGGTAAAACTGGTGGTGACGAAGAGGAGAGCATTAACGATAACAAGCGATGGGGAGCAAGCACGAGGAAATGATCGATGATAACGATTAATGAGGAGAGCTAGCGACAATAGTATACACAAGCAAGAAGCAATGAAGGGCAAACCATGGGTAGATATCGATAATAATGAGCTATGAGGAGAGTCTGATGTAGCAATGTGTGCAGCGACATAAAGTGATAAGAGGTAAATTGGGGTAGTGATTAACGATGGATAGTGGGGAGAGTCGACAATAGCTATGTGTAGGTGGTAAGAAGTAATGGGAGATAGGTTAGGGGCGACGAACAATGACAAAGAGCAATGAGGACAAGCTAGGGGTGGTGATCGGTAACAATGATCGATAAGAAAAGTTAGCGATAGTAGAGTGCATACTAAAATCGTAAGAAAGGAAAAAAAGAAGGATAAAAGAAAATTAAAGAGGTTGTGAATAGTAAAATATTATTATTTTTAATTAATTTATTAAAAGATTATGAATAGTAAAGGGATCGTGAATAGTAAGTATGAGCTCGAAATAGTAAACTCCTATGATAATATTTGTAGGCAGAACATCGTTTTATCTTCGAACATAAAAGAGTCACCTTTATAATTTTTTGAACTATACGCACTAACCTTCCCGGCTTGTAAAATCAGACCCACCATCGATCCCAACGCCACCTTAGGAAGAGCATTCAGGTATAAATATATATAGATTTTACCGCACTTATATAAATTAGTTCCATGAATCAAGATTTGATAATGAAAAAGAAATGCTTGGTTCTAATTTATTTTGATTTAATTAGATGATGTTATTTAGCTTTTTCACATATAACGTCAACATCATAGAGTAATTAATTAGATGTCATTATTGAGGCATTAGATGCCATGTTCTTATGCTAGAATAACATGATAATAAACTCTATCTCGATTGATTAATTCATTATTACATAAGTGATAGGTCTCAATTTTGAATTCATGTGTGAGCATCAAATATGCTATTTAATATAATAAAAACATTTTTTATTTAAAAATATATTGTACTACATATTTCCAGTAGGATATGATACTGAGTATTTTGTACATTTGACATATCACATGAAGTCATAATCCAATAATACTAATGTAAAAATTTATTGAAAAATCTAGATAGAGAAACTGTACTAGGGTTTTGAAACAAAGTCTATTATGGTAGGCGGTGAGAGGTTTTGCCGGCGACGAGCTCATTGGTGAGGTTGTGTCTCACCCTCCGCTTCCTTTCTCTTCTGTTGGGGGTGCAGTCAAGAGCATTATTGCTTTCATATGCCGGTGGTGGTGCAAGTAGGGGGTGCTGTTCTTGCTTTTATCATCTTAGCTTCTACTGATTGCATCAATTAGACAAATCCAAGGTTCTGATATACAACTTGGTCCATTTCGAGCAACTAATGGCGAGTTGAAAAGCTAGACTATATACGAAGGATGGCATATGTTCTTCACAAACGTCATGTTCTTGGATTAACAGCTACCATATGGTGAACAGGCAAATCAAAATAGTTGTTTGTTTGAGAGAACATACTATCAGCGGGCTCTGTCGACTTAAACAAAATAAAAAACAATTCAAGTATTTTGTATATTCATACCTATCTCATATTATAACAATTCTAATATAAAAAAATTAAAATATAAATTAAAAATAAAAATAAAAAATCATACTACTTCTCGGAGAATCCTCGATAAAGAATGGAGGATGATATGAAAAGATAAACTCTCATCGAAAGGTAAATAATATTTATTTCTTATGATTCATGCAAAAAATAAATTTTGAACTATTTACTTTTTAAAAATTACATTACTCATTAGAAAATAAATTAATAATAATTTAATTAATCGATAAAAATCTATAGTATCATATGGAGTAAGTGCTGTGTGATACAAATTCTTAGGAGTTTACAACTAATTCACGAATAAAAGTCGAACAGTCCATTCGAGAAGGCAAGGAAGGCCCAACACCACCACATAAGAACAGTTACCATCTTTGATGCGAGCTTCTTTAAATAACATCTTCTATAAATTCTTTAAAACACAGCTTACGCTAAAGAAAACAAAACGCCTGATCGACTGACGAGTCAACTGTTCAAGAGAATGGATGTATATATATAATTTAACAAAAAAACTAAATTTTTCCCTCGTATTTCTCACATTTCTTCTCGTATATTGAGAAAGAAAAAGGGTTTTCTCGGTGCTTAGTGTTGGTGAACCTTTACGCTAGGGGTGTCAGTACGGTTCGGTCCAGTCCTAGATGCGCAAGGGTACCCAGGTGGATGCTCGAGTGGAAAAAGCGAGCGTCAGGTCGGGTTGAGTCTAAGTCTCATCTTCCGAGTGTCGTCTTCTCTCTTAGCGAGTGGTCTGCTTCTTCGTCGTTGAGCTCCTGTACACAGATCGAGGTCGGAAGGTGAATTTTTTAACTCGACCCATTCGAAGCTTAAATCAGTGTTGAATAGAGTTAAGGGGAGTTGAGGTATTCGAAGTCCAACCCCTGACGTTGGTCAGGAGGTCGGCTTTTATACTTGCAAACAAAGGTCGATCGTACATGTTAATGGTCATCGACTCCTCGAGTAGTCGACTCATACCTTCCATGCGAGCGATGATCGATCTGCACGGATCGACACCGCGTGGTATCGTTTCGAGCTTTCCGGAGCAACTCTGTACTATACGGCGTCGTCTTGTACGGACTCGGACAACATGAGAGTATGCGACCATCACATCAAAGTCTGAGATATTGTGTCGATGCAATGCATCGTATCAGCCCCCGAGGCTTCGTGTTAGTGCTGACATGACAGCTAACTGTTATTGCAATACTTCGAAACCAACTAATGGTTGCATGCCGACATGCACCACAACTTGTTGCAAGCTACGTCTTTCTACCTTTCATATTGGGTGTTAGTCCAACCACGCACGTTAGGCACTTTGTGATAAGGACATAACTATACTTAGTTAACAACGAAGAATAAGACACCGATTGAACGTGTGAAATGTGTCGTCCAATCGAAAGCACCTATCACCATCCGATCTGCCTTATTTCTTGGGAGGTGTCGGTGCTGGAGATGGTACCTACCTACTTACCTCCATAAATTAATTGAAACTATTTGATTGCACCAATTGCTTTTATTTACCTTCCAAATTTGTGTTGTTAAAGTTTATGATTTTAACAAGGTATGCAAATTAATGTCTCCCGGTGGCCTCTCAAATGGCTACGTTGAGTGACGACCGATGATAGTAAATTGTAATGTAATATCTAATAGTAATTAAAAAAAAAACATGTGCACAACTTATAAAAGATGAAGAAAATAAGATTATATTCCTAACAATCAACCTCACCTCAATCAATCTAGATGAGATCAAACGGATGCCAGCTCCCATTATCCAAATCCGACGGTCCAATCGACGGCCCATGTCACTCTGGCGTCACGCCCACCCTGTCGTCCGAGCGACCCGCCACGTGTCTTCCTATTCTTATCCTTCCCCGACGCGTTGACGGCCCCACGCGAGCGCTCGCGTGGACTGATGCAGTTTCCAAATGACAAAGAAAAACGAAGCGGCACTCGCTTTTCACACTCGGTCTGCGACACCTCAAATTTTAGCTCACGGGCTCGAATAGTGGGCCCCGCTTCCTGGGTGCCCTGTAAATTGGGTGTACCGTGGGTGCCTTCAGTAGTGCCCGTTTGGATTTGTCCACGGCGGGAGAGAGCACCGGCAGCAGCAAAGCAGTGGGAACCTAGAGAATGGACGCGGTTTCTGGATACCCATTTCGGCGAGCCACGAGATCTTGATAGACTCGGGTTGGCCTATCGGTTGATTGGGGGTGTAAATGTGTGTTTTCTAATGAGATGTATATTTAGATGAGAAAAAAAGATAAAAGAGTGGGAGTCGAGTGTAGTAGTAGTAGAAGCAGAAGAAGACGACGAAGAAGCGCTCTCCCAAAAAAGTCCCTTTCGTTCTAGAAAATTACATTTTTAGTCTCCGTCGTCTCTCACTCTTCACCTTTTCTCTCTCCCTCGATAACCAGGGCTGGGGTTTCTTTTTCCGTCCTAACGTTGGCGTAGGGGCTCCGATTCCCCTTAGGATGCGCCGGACGGTGGCGATGCCACGCCGCCGGTTTCCTCCTACCTCCCTAGTCCGTGTCTTCCTCCTCATAATCCCATTCGCCGCCGCCGCCGCCTCCGCCGTCGTTTCTTCGTCCTCACTTGATGCCGCTTCCCGCTCGGCCGAGAGGGTTGCCCTCCTTCAGTTCAAGGCCTCTGTCGTCTCCGACCCCGCCGGTCTCCTCGCCCTCTGGTCCAACGCAACCGGCTCCGACCACTGTGTCTGGCCCGGCGTCTCCTGCGACGCGAGATCGAGGGTCGTGGCCCTCAACATCTCCACCGATGTTGGTCGTTTCCCTTCGTCCTGCTCTAGGTCCGGTCCGTTCTGGCGGCGCTGCCCGGATTCCTGCAGGCGGTTGTCCGGAAAGCTGAGCCCCGGCATTGGAGCGCTTGTGGAGCTTAAAGTCCTCTCCTTTCCGTTCCATGCCTTCGGTGGCGAGATCCCTAGTGAGATCTGGGGATTGGAGAAGCTCGAGGTGGTCGATTTTGAAGCCAACCTGCTCTCCGGCTTTCTCCCATCGAATTTACCACGTAGTTTAAGAGTGCTGAACCTGGCTTCGAATCTGATCCGTGGTGAGATCCCACTGTCTCTTTCTAGTTATGTTCGTTTGGAAACCCTGCACCTCTCCGGCAACCAACTCAATGGCACAATCCCTGGTTTCGTTGGCGATTTTCTTAACCTCAGAGAACTATATCTATCTTCGAATCAGCTCAGTGGTTCGATTCCAGATGAGCTGGGAGATGGTTGCCGGAGTTTGCAGCATTTGGACCTGTCCGGTAACATTCTGGTCGGTAGCATTCCGCGTAGCTTGGGAGATTGCAGTGAGCTCCGCTCACTCATACTATCATCTAATCTGTTGGATGATGTTATTCCTCCAGAGTTGGGCCGGTTGAGAAAGCTCCAAGTTTTAGATGTTTCGAGGAACTGTCTGAGTGGCCCTGTGCCTGCTGAACTTGGAGGGTGCTTTGAGTTATCTGTTATCGTTCTTTCAAACCCGTACAATCCAACAATTCTTTCTGTTAATTCAAGCAATGTTGACGCTGATGAGTTCAATTATTTCCAAGGTAGGATCAATGAGAATATCACAGCCCTGCCAAATCTTAGAGTGCTATGGGCACCGAAGGCGATGCTACAAGGGGAGATTCCAAGCAGTTGGGGTACTTGCGAGAGCTTAAAAATTGTTAATCTAGGGGAAAATCTCTTCACTGGGGGTATTCCCAAAGCATTTGGTCAGTGCCAGAATCTTAAATTTCTTAACTTGAGCTCAAACAAGTTGACAGGTTGGCTGGATCAGGATCTTCCTGTCCCTTGTATGGATGTTTTTGATCTTAGTGGTAATCGTCTGTCTGGTTCCATCCCAAGCTTTAACTTGAAATCTTGCCCTTCATCAAAGTTGCTGCTAGATGACCTAGGATCTGGGTATTCTTCATTCTTTTCATATACAACACTGGCTGCAATCTCATTGGATATGTATGATTTTGGTGATGATATTACAGTTTTCCATAACTTTGGACAAAATAAGTTCACTGGCGTCCTACCATCTTTACCACTTTCAACTGATAGATATGGGAAGGAGGTTGTCTATGCTTTCCTCGCTAATGGTAATAATCTTGTTGGGCCATTAAGTGATGTCATATTTAATAAGTGCAATGAGGTCAAAGCGTTCATCGTCAACTTAAGTAATAACTGGATTTCTGGACAATTTCCAACAGAAGTTGGTGCCATGTGCCTGCCTCTTGTGGTTTTCAATGTTTCTCGTAATAATATTACTGGAGTGATTCCTCAAGGTTTTGGATTCTTGGAAGGCATTATCAGTTTAGATTTCAGCAGAAACCATCTTGAAGGTGAGATTCCTGCAAAGTTTGAGAATTTGAAGCATCTGCAGTATCTCTCACTGGGAAAGAATAATCTTAAAGGCAACATTCCTGCTGGTTTCGGTCAATTGCATCATCTTAAGTATTTTGATCTTTCTTCCAATTATCTTTCAGGGAAAATTCCCACTGACCTTGTCGACCTGAAAAATCTTACTATTCTTCTTCTCGACAACAATAATCTTTCTGGAACAATTCCTTTGAATTTAGCTAGAATGACATCTTTAACAAAGTTTAATGTGTCATTCAATAACTTGTCTGGGCCATTACCAATGAACGCCAGTATGTTGACATGTGATAGTGTTCTTGGAAACCCTTTGATCCACTCTTGTCCTGTAAATACTGTATCTGTCCCATCACTTTCTGGCCGGCAAGGGCGCAGCACACAGGATTACACTGGTTCTTCACCTATAAGGCCAACAAATGATAGTAACAATACTGGTTTCAGTACTGTAGAAATTGCTTCAATAGCATCAGCAGCAGCCGTCGTTTCTGTTCTTTTAGCTTTAATTGTCCTCTACATATACACAAGAAAATGTGCACCAAGATTTGCAGCCCAGTCTTCAAGAAGAAGAGAGGTTACACTTTTCACAGATATTGGAGCACCAGTTACTTTTGAGAGTGTTGTTCGAGCCACTGGCAACTTTAATGCAAGCAATTGCGTCGGACATGGAGGCTTTGGAGCAACTTACAAGGCTGAAATTTCACCTGGAGTATTAGTGGCCATAAAAAGACTTTCTCTAGGAAGATTTCAAGGAGTACAACAATTCCATGCAGAGATTAAAACACTTGGGAGATTGCGCCACCCAAATCTTGTTACTTTGATAGGGTATCATCTTAGTGAGGAGGAAATGTTTCTCATTTATAACTACCTTTCAGGAGGAAATCTTGAGAGGTTTATACAGGAAAGGCACAAAAGAGCTGTTGATTGGAGGGTACTCCATAGAATTGCTATGGATATTGCATGTGCACTTGCTTACCTGCATGACCATTGTGTGCCCCGTATCCTCCACCGGGATGTTAAACCAAGCAACATTTTGTTGGACAATTACAAAGCTTATCTCTCTGATTTTGGATTGGCAAGGCTTCTAGGCAACTCAGAAACACATGCAACTACCGGTGTAGCTGGAACTTTTGGTTATGTTGCTCCAGAGTATGCAATGACTTGTCGTGTTTCTGATAAGGCTGATGTATACAGCTACGGCGTGGTACTGATGGAGTTGATATCAGACAAAAAAGCATTGGATCCTTCATTTTCTCCATACGGAAATGGCTTTAATATTGTTGCTTGGGCTTGCATGCTACTCCGCCAGGGGCGGGCCCGTGAATTCTTCATGGAAGGGCTGTGGGATGTTGGGCCTCATGATGCTTTGGTGAACACGTTGCATTTAGCTGTCAGGTGTACAGTTGATTCACTTTCTATCAGACCGACTATGAAGCAAGTTGTTCAACAGCTAAAGCAACTTCAGCCTCCTACTTGCTAGCACCAATATTAGCTGCATGATTAACCCATTCAGTATTGGTTGTAATTTCGACTTTAAGTGGTCCATTTTTTTTATCACCTTCAAGAAGAAGCTAAGTTGTAGCTGTTGCCAGTGAATTATAAAATTTTTTAGTCCTTTCTCAGAGGCTCACTGATATATCTGCAAAGGAAACAAGAAAAGGTCAGTTGTATATTAACCAGATTAATTGAGAGAGAATTTTCATAGACTTCTGTGAAGTATTTTTCCAACTTTTCTTTGGTAACTGACACATTTAGGTGGTTCCGCTACTAAGATATTTGATTATTCTGCCATAACAAGAGACATACAAAATACATGAGCATTACGGAATCCAAATGTTTAATAAATTGCTTTTTGTCAAGCACATGAGTTTTGCATACATCCTTGACTAAAAAATTTACCATGATAGCTAGAAATGAAATTAGTTGTTTCACCAAGTTATTGTTCTGTACTTCTATGAATATCATAAAAGTAATGTGTTGACCTTGATTATTGATGTTGGAAGAAAATATATATGCTTTATAATGTTCTGGAAAAATTACATTACTCATAGGTCATGTTTCTTTTGGATACTATGTGATGCTGACATACGTTCGTGGAAGGCTCACATAGGAAGGGTGGAAACAAGTGTAAAGGTAATACTTCTGCCTAACAATTTTTTTGTCAGCTTTATGATCTGTGATGCATCTGCTAACATTTTAAAGTTTCAGCCATCAGTGGAGGCTAGTTGGAAAATTTTCTACTAAGTTTTGCATTAGCAGAAAGAAACTGTAGGAAGTGTGTGTATCATGGCCCTAGAGTTGAACTGACCTTGTTTATCAACTATTGTTCCCTTAAATGTGATGTCTTCGTCACTTCCTATACTTATGTTGCAGTTCTTCTTATTTTACCAAGCTTAGACATAATTCACGTTTTGAGGGTAGGCATTGGTATTGTGGGTGATGGTTTTGCTTGGACCATTACGTAATGGGTGGTATGTACAGTGGTAGGCATGAACTCGTGCCCCTGTTTTGGTTAGTTCAGTTCCACAAATAGAAAAGGAAAAAAATATTTAACAGGATTACAAGCCCTCTTCCCCATAGTTGCTCACGGACAAACCTGTGAGTTGTTGCCGCTCATCACCCATCGCCTATCATCGACTTCAAGTATGCTTTTTCTCCTACTCTTCCTCCTCTTACTCTTCTTCCTTTTCCTTATATATTTTCTTTTGTCGCCTTCTATTGTTCCTTCCTCTTCCTTCATCATCTCTTTTTCCTTCCTCTTCCTTCATTGCCTCCTCTTCTTCCTTCTTCTTCCTCCACTGTCACCTCTTCTTCCTTCTTCCTCTACTACCTCCTCTCCTTCCTTATTCTTCCTCCTCTTCCTCATCACCATACCTTCCTTCCTCTTTTCCTTCTTCCTCTTCAAGTCTTTGGTACATTCTAGTGTATCATGCATCTATACATTGGTACCAACTGATTCGTACCGATCCGACTAGGGACCAATATGCGATACGAGATAAAAAATCTTGGTGCAATAGTAAGGTTGCTTCTTTGCGAGAGATCATAGTTTGAGTCATAGAAATGACCTCTCTATATTTAGAGATAAGACTGACCTTCCCAGACCTCGCATTGGTGGGAACCTCTTGCATTGTATTAGATCATTTGTGGGAGATACGCCTTTTTTATTTGCTTTGGATTTCAACGGCGGTTAAAATTTTCTTTATCCTTTACCTGGGTTACCTGGGTGGATTATATCAATTGCTTTCTTCTTGTACTTCACAAGATGTAAATCAACAATTTCACCACTATAAGCTGTCATGGCAATGTTTAGTATCTTCACTCGGCCTGTTGTGCATGTTTTTTAAGGGCACTTGCACAAGGTGGATAATATTTCACTTTTCATAGGTCTCATAATCGATGCTTTTTTTCTTGTCAAGTTTACTGAGAGATGATTATGAGAATCTATGCTATCCAGAACTCTTAGTTTTGATTGTGACATATCATTTCTGCATCATCAAACTTGTGATTCTCATCGTACAGTGAACCCAATCCTCCTTTAAATATCTAGGTCTTTTGCGCTTTCAGTTATAGCATATGATGTGTTTTGTGATACAAGGATCAAGCGTCAACCAGTAGATCCATTTTTGTTGTAGCAGTCTCTGCCTTGTTCTTTTATGTGCTCATTATGATATTGGTTTTTATTCTAAACATGTGAATCTTCTGAAGAACTAGTGAAAATAAAAAGAAGCAAACATGTAGCCATAAGACAGGTTGGATAATAACTATTCCATGTTGCAATTAGTTGTATCTTTAAAATAATTAATCTTTGTGATGATATTGATCTTTGTAGTTTGGAATTGGAAAGGGAAAAAATTTCATAAGGAAAGAAGATATATAGAAAATAGTTTCATTATAAAATTGATCCCAGACCTAGTATTAGATCTTGAACTTCAAGCCAAATTTGAACCCTAACTGGACTCCATGAACTGGTAAGACCGTCAAGTCGCATGCAAAACCAAGAGCAGAAAGTCTTCGTTAATGGATGCTGCAGATGACAGCATTATAACATGGATGTGGTCCTACTTCCTATGTCTTATTTGTGCTTAGTGTTATGTCTGGTAATTGATTTATCTTTAGTTCGTCTGACTTTTCACGAGAATTTGTAATCGAGTTGTGTTCATTTTAGTCATCTAGTTTTTGTATCTAATGCCAAACAATGACAAGAAGCACACCTGTGCATGTGTTTTTCTTGAATCTTTTTCACTGCTGGTCTCAAACTTAGAAAAGGGAAGAGAGCTGCTTTTGAACAGCTAACAGTCAACAGAGTCTATAACAGCTAACGGTCTAACCAGAAAACCCATGTCTTCTCTTAAGATGTCAAAGGGTGATAACGTAGAACTAGAAGCTAAAAGTTTCATCACGCCATCCCATTCATCAATAAGCGCACTAGAACAATTGAAGTAGCCTAACTGGAAGAAAGTAGTTTAATTACAGGGCCATATTTCACCTAATTAGAACCAGTTGAGTAGAATTGTATTCATTGGACTTCAATATACCTAAACAAATCAAGCTTCAACCAAGCTGATCCTAGTATTTAGCTCAACTCCCATCTAATTTGATGGGAATTTTCATGACTTGAGTTGCGGTCTTTGAAACCATGGCAGTTGCTTTTGGATTCCGGATTGGCACGGCACTCTGCTGGTCCAATCTGTTCCTTTCTTGTAGATCTTGTGCCAAACTGAGATTGTGATCTGAGAGTTGCACTCTTCATGTTGTTGGTTCACTCTGGTTGTGTAGCCTTTTTAACTTTTTGTTGTGGCTTTTGTGTGAAACCGAGATTGCCATCTTGTTTTTGCTGAGCCCGAGATGGAAAAGCCCATTGATCTCAAACCTATTGCTGATGCTGATGGAGAATGGTGAAGTCAGAGAGATGTAGAGGGAGTGAGTCTTCTCTAGTTAAACCATTTAAAGTATGTTGAGCTGATGCTTCATCGTAACCTAGGTGACAAGACTAGCACGGGTTTGAATCAATAGGAGACATGTGGCCTCCTGCCCTGCATATATTCTTATGATGCATTGGATTCACCCTTTGTTTCTGGATATGCAAGCGAGTATACTTTTTTATGACGCACGTAAAGCCTTCTATTCATGTGTGGCTTCTTTAGAGAGAGGTAAAGAAGCTTTCTCTAATGCTCATCTTCAGTCACAAGTGGACTCTGTGACGTAGCAGATGACAATGCAGTGCAACTGTATCAGGATTTAGTGTGTAGATGGGCCACAGAAACCCCTTTCTTTGTCGAATATGGTACGGATAATTTTCTATCTCCAGTCGGTAAATGCCTGACATATTTCACCTTTCTTGGATGAAAGGAAAATAGAAAAAAAAATTCTGAAAAATTAAAGAACATTGCGAGCAGAAGGTATAAAGGAGCGAGCACTAAAAAGAAAAACCATTGGTTCAAATAAACAAACAGTTCAATGGTAATCACGGGGAGCAATTCTTGGCAAAAAAATTATAAATCAGCAGGAAGCTATCAATCTACGAGAGAAAACAATCTATAATTTCGTCTGCAAAACATCTCTACGACAGAAGATGCGATATGAATTTGTCAAAGCTGGAACCTGAGGATCATCCGGGGAATGGACGAATAACAATGACAAAAAATGTTGAGAAATCACTTACAACTAGTAGTTCCATTCCGATACAAGAACCAAAATGTACATTAACATTAATGAGCACGAAATATCCTCAAACCAAAGAATAAATATCTTGACATTTAAAAATCTCAGGTTGAAATTTTAAACATGCAGCCAAACACTGTCATGGACCTAATGAAATCCACGGATTTCTTATCCCCAAACCAATTGGCACCTAATTGCAACCTGCAGAAACATCTAAGTCTGCTGGAAAAAGTAAATCAGACAACAAATACCTATATATACTGACAGGAAAAAAAATATTAGTTCATGATACCATCGACAAGAAGAAAAAAAAAAAGTTAAAGCATTAACATTATTTATAAACAATGATATTTTATTTGAGACCAACAATATAATTCAACTACATGATCCAAATGGAAGCAATTAATTAAAAGCACATTGTGTACCACAGTCTGAAATTTCTCCCCAGTCAAAAGCCATACATTTAATGTCTAAAATTGATAAATGATGGCTTTAGCAGCTACAAGTAACAAAACAATAAAATATCCAATCAACAAAAACTTGTGCAAAAGATAATCAAGTTGCACATGCAAGAGAACCAATATAAGCTTTGAGGAAGATCTCAAATGTACTCTCCAAAATGAAAACTCCTATAAGATATGAAACGGGCTACCTAGATTTTGATTTAAAAAATAGTACAAGATGCACCAAGATAAAGAGAAAACAGAACTATTGCCGACAGTTAAAAACCCAGACAAAAATTGATTTCCAATAAGGTTTCCAATTATAGATCAAATACCTAATCAAGAAATAGATTGTTTTGCCATTACTGTAAAGAGGCAGAATCATCAAATGCTCTAAGCTGAAACAACACCTGGCTTGGGTCCTCTAGGGCGGCCGACCATGCCATTCCCATTCTGAAAGGCTCGCGGCTGATAACCATTACTTCCACCGGAAGTCGGGTCCCAACCACGTCCAGAGTACTCAGCCCGGTTCCTGAACTCATTCCTCCTAAAGCCCATATTGGAGACAAAGTTTCCACGTCCCCGGAAGTTATCGTTTCTGAAAGC